TCCTCACTGGTGAAGGTTCCTGGGTTGGACATGAAGGAGCGAATGAGGGAGTAGAAGCAGCTAGACATTCTGGAGAGGGACATGGCTTCAGTGTCTGTTGGGAAGAAGGATGTCGACGTCCTATAAGGACAGCAAATTTACGGCTGAAGCCTGAGGCCTGAGGTCGCAGTCAGCGTATGAATCTCAGCTGTATATCCGGCAGACTCGCCCGCTACGCAGAGCTGGAATCCCGAGATTGTATAATCTCTACAGCTTCCGCGAGGCAACCTGCTGTAGGCTGCAGTCGAACGCAAAAGGCTTCTCGTCGCTCAAATCCAACAAAATTTCACACCAGATCAAAGGCCAATATGATCCGGATAGCCATTGAGGTCCGTAATCGCTGAAGGACGTGAGCTAGAAATATGAAAGAAGCAGGAAGGCGGTTGACAATTTTTTAGCCTTCACCTTGTGGTTCAATGAAGCCCGGGTTCCACAGCAAGAATACCAATAATCCTCGTTATCCAGCAGTCGAATTTTTCGGTCTATCGAGAGGAATAGATCCTTCGTGAAGAAATGGTGGTCCGGCATAGCAGGGTTCGCCGTTGAAAACTGAGACCAGAGCTAACTTGGAGGTCTCTTGATGCGGACCGTGTCTAGGACAATGATCGACCTTGTAGAATTCGTGGGGATTTGCATTTATCCATGATCAAGGCGGCGAAGAAGACAAGAGACGTGAGAATATTTCATTTCTTTGCTCATCATCGACCATGACCTCGGGCGTAAAAAAAGAATTTTCCCTCAGCTTCACAGGCCCATGATCCTTCCATAATAATGCGGTCGTAAGTCAAATACCGGTTCAGCATGTCTTACATATTTCGCCATGTTTGAGGCCAAACATTTTTCCAAACATTTGTACTGTGCTCGCTTGCTCTTCTTGGCTGCTTGCTTCTAGATTGCAAAAAGGCCTCATATAACGCTGACAGGTATGCCCTCTTTTGTGTCCCAAAGACGGTGTCTAATCCAGCACAGGCAATAGCTCCGTTGTCTGACCAGTGACTTGGTCCCTGGGTTTTCTCGCCCCCTGGTAATGGCATTCTGCGAACATTATAGGATAGCTTTTGCTCTGCCATTTCCCTGTCAACATTTGCTGAAACCAGTTTTGCAGAATGTCTCATTCCAATCATGCTCCAGCCTTATGGCATGAGAGAACCAAAAATCTATGCCCGCTCGTTTGCGCTCTTGGTTCATGCATCACCTTGAAGACCCCGGGTTTCAGCTACAAGACGTTTCGTTGTCTTGACGGCCGACTGGGTGACTCGGAGCTGTGATAAACGTCAAGGCCAAGCACTTTGGATAAGGGGATCATCTAGTGCGCAAAAACTCGTTTCTGTGCCATCTTTTCTGAAAATTACATTATAGGATCCAATGCTATCCAGCCATATCCATGATTGTCCTATTTATCTCAACCACCTTCTATCCATGATCTCACATCTCACCGTCTGTGAGCCAAAGAGCCGCCTGTTCCGCATAAGCATATACTTAGGCCCAGATCATCGAAAGGCTACAAAGTCTCTGGCTCTGGGGATCCTTGAATGCTGATTGTGGACTCGGTCTTGCGAAAAACGGAGTCCGTTCATTTTCCCTTGTCTTTTGATCCTTGTCGTGTTGACCCTTTTGCAGCGCGGTCGGTGGAAAAATGATGGGCAGGTCGCTACATAGCCTACCATGATGATAGCCACCTTACAAGATGATGCAATAGATTGTTTCTCTTGTCATAGTTGTCGTATTGACACCTCGGTTTCTCAACCGTTTTGAAAACATGTAACCCTAAAAGAGGGTCATGACGGCTTGAACCAAAACTCGCTAAAAAAGGAATTATACCTCTGTCATCACCATCCATGCATATCGATATCCATGGCTGCTATTTTCACGTTGCCTCTGTCCTTCGGCTCTCTGTTTCGTCCAAGTAAGTACCTTTACAGCAAAAGCTGTATGGGCGTCTATTCTGCTTTGATGGATTCAACCCTGAGCCTGAACAGCTCTCATGTCGTCATTTCGACTTCCACGCCCCTTGCTCGTTGACCTTGCACGCTACCCTCCTTGCTATGGACCTTCAGCTAGGTAAAGATCTCGACTCATTCCAATTGCTGACTGACCCTTTGCACCAGGGACTGCCCCTCCGAAGGAATCAAATCCAACGATATTCAGCAGTTATGTTCGAGAGGCAAAGATTTACGATTCTGGAATGGTAGCCCGCTGGAAGGTTCTCATGGATGGTTTGCTGCTATTTGTAGGTCCTTTTGCGTCTACGATCCTTCAGTTGTTCACCGTCAAGCTTTCAGGCTGCTCTTTTCTCGGCGGTGGTGACAGCTTTTATCATCGAGAGCTACAAGAATCTTTCTCCAGATCTGACCGTGGTCTTTCTCTATCAGATATCGCAGCAGCTCTCGACTATGACGAATAGCACTGAGCTCAACCTCCTTTCCCTGTCCGATTTCAGCGGTTCACCGAAGCTGGCAATCATCACCAATGTATTCTGGTTCCTCAGTCTCGCCCTGAGCCTGACCTGTGCTCTCACTGCTACTCTTATCCAGCAATGGGCTTCAGATTACGTCCGGGCAATTGAACGACGAGAAGCACCAGAAATCCGAGCTCGAATCCGAGCATATCTCTTCGAAGGGGTGGAGAATTCCAATGTGGCAGTGATTGTCGAAGGGACACCGCTTCTGCTTCATGCATCACTTTTCTCTTTTTTCATCGGTCTCGTATTCTTTTTACATCCAATCAACACAATCATGACTTTCCTCACCGCTAATATCCTTGCCGCTTTCGGGATTGCATATCTCTCCGCGACCATTGCTCCCCTTATCGACACTGCTTCGCCTTTTCGAACGCCACTCACGACCTTGATCCTTCAATTCTCTTTTGCTCGGAATTCCATTCGGAAGACCTCTATTTGTGGTCTGAGAATGGCTTCCTTTATGCGATCAAACGCTGTAGCATTAGTCAGGAGCTGTTGGGAAGCTGTAAGGAAGTATGCTTCCTCTGTCGCTGAAATAGGTCAGACGACAACACAGCGACTATCAAAATTATCTGCATGGGTTCTATCGAGAATGTCCTGGCCGAGCAAGGTAATTACTTACTCTCCGTGGTCTCACGTACTTTTTTATGACTACTTTACTTCTTCCAGGACCACCACAATACCGTTGAAATGCAACCCTCCTCAGAGATCCCTGAGGAGCTTCCGGAGGCTGTTATCTCTGCTCCGATGAAGCTGATCCGATCTTGTCTTGAATCTCTCGAAGACATTTGGTGGGACGATATGCTCAGTTACAGCCCCGATTTGGACGCTATCAAGGAAAACACCGCCTTGAACCGTTATATAACTGGTTTTCAGGAGCGTGAGATCAAAGCCTTGTCCTGGACGTTGGAACACACGACAAACGACGCAGAACTGCTTCTCATTCTCGAAGCCATCCCTTCCTACTTCGAATCCCGTAACTCTTGGTTGGACTGTCATTTTGAAGAAGACAACATCACGGTGGCCACTGGTGAATTGGATTCCTCCACAGAAGATTCTGCGGATCGATTGTCGGTCCTGCAGGCTGTCCTTGGGGACCCAGAGACAGGCTTTGCAGTGAAACTCAATACTTTGATATCCACTCGACAAGATCACAAGTCCATGACAGAGAGAGAAGCAGCAGCTGTCGTAAATGCTCTTTCGTTTCTCCTCGAGAAAGGGATACACCCATATACGTCGTCCACTGGCTTCATTCCTCGGAGGGACAGCTGGGGATTTCGACAGTTTCGGGACCAAGTCGCCTTCGATCATCCATCTTTAGCCGATGCTACACGTCGTCTGCCAGTCATGGAGATCTTCCGATGCAGCAAAGCCCGACACGCCGCTGCATTGCCACCCATCCCTTTGATCACCGGACCATTCAGTGCTACATTTCACTGCTCCGGTCTTTTGACGGCTCCTCAGTTTGGGACCGAGATATTATCATTATCGGGAATTGAGAAGGTGTCTATCAGTGATACCTCCTACAGCTTGAGCACGAAGCCTGGTCTTGACCACTGGGAGGAGAACCATCGAGGTACTGTTCTTTTTGCCCTTTGCTCCTTCTTCCACAAGGAGGCGGGCTATTTTCCTGGCCACTTCGCCGCAGAATCGTTCTATCTGGCGATGAAGGAGCTTGCTTGCTTTATTTCTCCACTCTGTGAGGGATCTACCGAGGCCCAACGAGCATACAGCGCCGCCGTATGGTTTATCACATTGTCTCTGGAGGAGGCTGGTACTGAAGCTGAAGAGGCACGTCACTGGCGTGAAACACATCATTTCCAACAATTCCTTTGGCTACTACTGGATCCCCTGCTCCAAGTCACAGATGATCTTGCTGTTAAAGGAGTGGAGAAAGTGTTTTCCCATCCATTCTTATGGAAATACATCCGCCCCATGCTTGGGTTTAACTCCGAAACACCATCCGATAATTCGGTTCTTTGTCGAATTATGTGTGCCCACCGGCTCGCAAATTCCTTTGGCACCCCAACATACATGAATGGCTCGCGGCACAGGATGCCACCATCAATCCCGAAAAATGTCACATTCTCAAACATCGACTCTGCCATACAAACCCAACTTGTTCAAGATATTCGGGATTGGCTTAGAGAAGGTCTGCCGGAGCTTTCTTCTGAAGATACAAAAGTCATCCCAGAGCTGTTCCAGCTCCTAGCGACAGTCGACAACCCAGACGCTGTAACAGAGATGCAGCGTATACTTCATGAATTCCTCGTTGGATCACCTACTCCCAACATTGACCCAGCGCAGCATGAAAGCAATATAGAGGCAGCACGAAAAGCCCTCGAGCAGCTGGAAGAGATGGCTAGCAGATCGGAATGAACTCATTCCCCAAATTGATAATGTTACTGAAGTGACTGGTGAACTGTAAACACAAAGTGTTTACTTGGTAGAACTTGAACAGTATGTTAGATTTATATATCTTAACATGTGTGAAAAGTATCAGCCAGAGTTGGGATTGAACCAACGACCTCTTGCATATATAGCAGACGCTCTAACCACTGAGCTACCTGGCCATTGATTCCTATTGTGTTCTCCAGGACTAGCAATCTCAGTAAAGTCCCAGGATCCCAGGATACTGTTACCCAGTTCCATAAGAGGGAATACTTAAATCCTGGGCTGAGATGCTGTCTGATCAACTATCCAACACAGTATTTCAATGCAATGATGGTACTAGACCCCTTCCACTTCTGCCTTCTCGTCCAGACGCTTCTCGGTGATAACAATCAATGTACACTGACTGCGCAGCCCCGACTCCGGCCCTTGAGGAAGAAAGAGACGAGGAACTTGATATTGATACATATTATACGTTCAATGTGAACTCTTTGAATTCCTTATCTACATTCCATCTTGGCTGGGTCTTGCAGTGTTGTCGCCGACCTTCAGTCGGCGCCTCCAGTGAGTCAGCAACTGTACACAAGACACCGGTAAATGCCGCCAGGTGAACACATCAGAAAGCATCTGTTTTCCACTTTAGAGTAAACAATCTTAGATGTGATAAATTACTGCAGAATGTGTGTGCTTGAGTCTACTTGCACCCACAAAAACTCTTCTGGTGCATTCTACATACGCGCAGAAATAACATCAGTTGTCTTGACGACTGTAGATGATCGCCGAGATGCCGGGGGACAAAGATTATAGAGTGCCTGACTTTCGAGGTTTTGAGAACCCTCCTCCTCGTAAACTCGGAGTCGGGGATGGTGCAAATAGCTCAGGCTTGACAGCCGCCCACACCGGACTTTTGGGCCATGGAAACATTGAATTTCCTCCAGTATGAAGATTCCCACAGGCCAATGATGTGAAACAGAGTAATTTACTTTGAAATTCTTTCATCATTTTTGATCTCCACAAAATTCGGCGAAGCTGCTGTGCTTCTCACCGGTACCTCTAAAGGTATTTTTAGAAACCAGGATCATGAGAACATTCAAACAGTCACCAGGTGTCAATGCTGTCAACTTGGGCTGTGCAGCACTGAACAGCTTGTCCAGAGCTCTCACGTTGGTCCTCCCTTCTCTTTGCACGTAGCTATGACTGCCACTGGATCCCAAATTCATAACACAGTCAAGGACAGCACATTTGGTGAGATATGCTTTAGCTTTGTTGGAGATGTTTGCTGAAGATAAGCAGGAAGTATCAGTGGACATGTCCTTTCTACTGTGGGTGATACAACAATTCATCATCATCACAATTATCCTGCTGGTGAGATTATTGTTTGACATGGAAATGCAGCTCATTTAAAAAAAATCCAAGCTGCTAAAAGTCATGCTCGTTATGCACGTGGCTATATGCCAGTCGCAAACAAGAAGTTCTTTGGCCGTGACCACGAGATTAAGGAGATTGTTCAGATCCTCACAGGCAAACCATTATCCCAGTCTAAACGCTCACGGTTGACTCAGATATTCACTACTAAGCCAGCATCTGCTCCCAAATGTGCCCATATTGCTCTTCTTGGTGCTGGTGGACAGGGAAAAACAGCCACAGCACTACAAGTAATGGCACATCCTGCCATTAAAGAGTATTATGACAAAAAGAACAGTATCTGGGTCCCATGTGATGAAGCCACCTCATCAGAACTGTTCCTTGATGTCCTCTTCAATTCCCTAGCTCTCAACCAGGATAACCAGAACACTCTGCAGGCAATTCTTAAGGAATTACACAAAACCTCCAAACCCATCATTCTCCTTCTTGACAACTTTGAAACACCATGGAATGCACCTGGAGTTAGAGGTGCTGTTGAACATATATTGCAAGAGATTGCACAGTTCTCACATGTTGCACTTTTTGTGACAATGCGAGCAACAGTTGCACCTTGTGAAGACATTGAATGGGAGGAGATCAAAATTCAGGCATTGGGCCCTGAGGCATCCCATCAGCTTTTTGTCTCAATCAATCCTCAGCTGCAGCATGATCCAAAGCTTCATGCTCTTCTTGAGATGGTGGGGCATATGGCATTGGCTGTAAAGCTTATGGCAAGATATGGGAAGAATACAGGATGGTCAGCCAAACAGTTGCTTTCAGGTTACCAGTCTACTGGTGCTTCAATGCTTGGATCTGCAGAAGGTGATCGACAGAACAGTGTCTCAGTATCCATCTGCATGTCACTGGAAAGCTCATTGGTCAAAAATGAGCTCAATGCTGGCCAACTCCTTTGCATAATTGCCAGGCTGCCATCTGGCACAACAGCCAACAATCTTGAACAATGGTGGGCACCATATCTTGAAAACCGCAATGGTGCCCTGCGAGTACTTCTAGAGGCATCACTTTTGGAATGTCAGACAAACACATACTTTGTCTTGCCAGTCATCAGGTCATACCTTCTTGACCCCTTACACCCTCCAGATGATATTCATGACTCAATGGTCAATGCAGCTTGTAATTTTCTGCGACAGTATAACTCTACCAATCTAAACCAGGAGTCCTTCCAAAATGACATGGAGGTGCGATCCATTGAGGAAATCAACCTGCAAGCTATACTCCTCCAGGCATCCGAGTTTGACACTGATGTTGTTGAAGCACTTGAAACTCTAGCATGGCACCAGTATCAAGTCAGGCCACGCACAGAAGTCATTCAACATGCAGTGAAGCTTCTGCAGAACATCTCAAATCAGCATCCACTTGTTGGACGTACTTTTTATTGCTATGCAGTCATTCTCCAGCCTCTCAATCACTTTCAAGAGTCTCTACAACAGTATAATCTTGCCCGAGAGGCATATCTTGCAGGTTCTGAGCCAACAGTTGCAGCATGGACATTGGTTGACATTGCTAAGGTCTCTACCATCATTGATTCTTCATTCAATGAGATCCCTCTCTTGGAACAGGCACAGCATGAACTGGAATCAATTGATGAAGATGGTGAACTGTGGAGGAAGGCAATGTCACTTTGTCTAATGCATTTGGGAGTGGCATATTCACGTTGTCAAAATTATTCAGAAGCCATTGAGCACCTCATAAGAGCAAAAGATTTGTGCTCAGATTTGCCTTCTGAAAGAGTGTTGTGTACTTATTATCTTGTTGAAGCACATCACCGTCTTCAACAACTTGATGAGGCAGAGAAGATGGCTGTGCAAACAGTCAGTGACTATAAGCAGATTGGGGGTTATCCTGGACCATCCCTTTGGCTTCTTGGAAGGATTTATATCTCCAAAGCTGAATACAACAAGGCTATCAAGTCTTTAGAGGAGGGTTTACAGTTTGCAAAGGCATATGGGGAGCAACAAATCACTGCTCATATTTTGCTTGAGCTTGGACGTGCATATATGAAGATAAGCAAAGACAATGATGCAAAAAGGTCATTTAGCCAGGCACTGGTGAATTATGGAAACTTGGAAGGTGCAGAGAGGGAAAGGATTGTGTGCCAGTACTACCTTGACAAGTTGGATGATCCTTCTAAGCTTCCAAATTTGGAGGAGGAAGATGCACTCATGGGAACATGGCATAAGGAGGATATACCAGGGCACATCTCAGTTGTATCTTCTACTATGTAGAGAAAGTATTGCCTGGACTCTTAATGAAAGATCTGAAAACCAGGATTGATGGAGAATAAAGAATGAAATCTTTGCAGGAAGCGAGGTAGATGGCAAGTTACTTTTAGTCATAAACCCTTGGAACAAGATTTTCAGCAAATGAATACCTTAATCAAAATACCATACAAAGCTCACAGCCCAGCAGCCATCAACATCTTGTCGAATTGAAGCATCTCAAGCCCAGTGACTGCCAGCTGGATTCCCCACAGACTGCAGTCAAATTTCAAGAATCAGCTTCTTGGCAAGTCACATTGCTTATGTTCCAAATCAGCAGTGAATCCCTGCATCAAACTGCTTGGATTGCTCCTCCCTGTTGCATCTGAACATTTCCAGGTTTGCGTAAAGGCTAAAATTTAGTTGGAGGAATGCATCGGCAAGTATTTGGAGGTCAGTAGAGATAGAGGCCTTTTGTAGTGAGATAATATACTGCCAAAATTCAAATTTGTGCTAAGTTTCATTTTTGACATGTTAAATCTATTGTGCTAGGTTGCAGTGAGACTGGAACTACTGTTAGATTTATGATGTGGAAAACTGTATGAGGTTTGCTCCATTCTATGGCAAGGTTTTGCATTGATCAACAAAATCAAAAATCACCTTGGAGATTCCCGAAGCCTTTGTATGTAACATTCACCCTTTTTCTTTTGCGTTTTCTTTCTTCAAGTGCTTCCTTTCCAGGCTGACTCTCATTCTAGAAAGGGTTCTTTCTTGTAGCAAAAAGCTCATAACAATGTTTTGGCTTCATCTTGGGTTTCCTACTGCTGCCAGCATTCAAGTCATTGAGGATTGATCAGGATATTCAGCAGGATAAAATTTATATATGAAGAGTTGTCATAGCTTGAAGCATAATTGAATGGAACCAATAGTTATCTGCTGGGCTCAAGTTTCAAACCTTGCAAGTGACTCATCTATTCTTCAATGTGGGTATAATACTCCAGGCATGGGGATTTTCAGCATCAAGAGGGATATTGTATAATTGACCTGAAAGAATCTTCAAGTCAAGAGACATTAGAGTTGTTCACAGTAGTGATTATTGCTCAATTATTGGTTTGATTATTTTTCTGATTAGGTGAATAATTGAGGATTAATTGATTATTTTTGGAAAAATAATCAATTATTCCGCATGATTATTCGGTTGCTGTTTATCCCAACTTTTCAAACTCCGCTGGGCATCATATCCTTTCTTTTCAGCACCAGCACCAGCCTTGCCCTTTTTTGCTGCCTTTGAGCCTTACCTTTTCTAATGTCATCCTATTTTTCTCTTATTTTTCTACCCACCACGGCCTGCCAAAAGCAAACCAATACCGCCAGCAACCCACCAAAAAGCGTCACTCTGCTAAACCCACTTCCTTCTGTTCCAGCGGTCGATCTCGCCAGGCACCCAAACAAGCTGATGCTGATGTCTTTGAAGCCCACATATTTCAAATGATAAACACCTGTTATTCACCCAGGTCATGGTACTCAGTTACTGGGTGATCTAGGGTGATTTTGACTGG